GTAGTTGACCCACCGGGGTATGAGAGTGACAAGAGAAGAGAGTGCACTTGTGTTTGCGCGTACACTTGTGCACTTAATATCTCCTGCGTAGATGGCTAGTCTCGATGAGATTGGCTGCCGTGGGCGTAATCATTCGGGATTTCGGGGAGTAATTAAATTTAAATTTTAAGATTTTTTTTACTAAAATAAGTACCTTGCAGAGAAGACAAAACAAGCACACGTTCACTATTTCTTCCAGTTTCTATCGACATACATATGATGGGTCAATTTATGTACTGCAATACTTGTACTTTTACCCACCCTGAGAGTTGAAACAAACCACTTACTACATCGTAGTTAGAAATAATAATTGCGTAATAGGCAATATCAGTCAGCAATAAATAATCAATAAATATTTTGAAGCCATTAACAAGAAAATTGAATTGAATTTATCGACGGTTTGTATAACCACTTTTCAGTACTCGTTAATTACGTTAATTAAAACGCTGGATAATATGTATTTATCTATACTCCTAGCATTAAATCTCTATCTAATATGTAATTATAGGTATTATTTATTATAATTATTGTATAACAAGTAGGTACTTTATTCATCATTTGTATCGCAGGTAGATTGGTACTTCTGTTTTAATTTTTTACTACATTTTTAGGTATATTAAATATATACAACCTATTATTTATTTCATTATATAAATATTTCAAAATTAATTAACGCTTTTATATAGGCTGTCCCAAAATTCACACAAGCTTTAAACTAATTCAAAATCATTTTTATTTTTATTATGTCATTAAATAAGTAGACTAGGGTATATGTGGCATAACATATCTAGCAAATGACCTCCACGGCATTCCTGGGGCATATGATGTTTTTATCAATTTTTTTCTTAAGATTTCGACAATGAATTCGTCCATTTGCATAAATGTGGCCGAATTGCCGAATTCGTTGATGGGGCGTCGAATCTCCTCCTTCAATATACGGGTGGATGAGGCTGTTAACAAAGACTTTAAATTCAAATAATGCAATGGAAAGAAATCCAATTATGTTAAAACACATGATGTACATTGTACGGAGCCAATTTTGATCACTGAAACGAGAGATTTCATAAGAACAAGAAGAGGAGAGATATTTTGTAAGAAATTTCATTATTTTTGAAATATTGTCCAACAATGAAAACGCGTTGTTCTTTAGTTAAGTGCTACAATGTTACTAATCCCTATATATTATACTCTCAACTATCAAACTGTTCTTTTTTTTGGTTGCCAACACTTACTGCGCAAACGGCGGAAAATACAAATTTCGCGTGAATCTTGGGATATCCTTTATAAAAGGCTGTCATTTAAATGAAAATCTTTGTAAATTATTATTATAACATAACACGTATTGATTGAAGATCATATAATTATTTTCTGATTAAAACATACTGATAAATCTTACAGAACAACTTTTCCCTATAAAATAAACTCCATGAAAAATTATTTCAGCTGTATCTCATTATATAATGCTCAAGCAACGATAAAATCTATTAAACGCATTACAGGATTCCCTAAAATAGGTTGATAGTGTCATACAATAGCAAAACCAATGTGAATGTAACCGATAATGACCGAACGTAAAATTAGTGCCGAAGCAATTTACAAGTAATCAATGTGCGGTGAATAATTAATTATGCATGCAGGAATGAGTTGTATATTCGAATGTATCGAAATTTAGTTTGTTTTAGAAAGGTAAATAATAATATTTTTTCTAATATATGTCAATATGAAATTTAATTAACATTTATGCTTTCATTTTGTATATAAAATCTTATAATATAAATTATATTATTAAACTAGCTGTACCCGCGGCTTCGCCCGCGATCATACTACTAAAAAAAAACAAACCCTTTGTCACACCGACAGCAGCGCCACCTACCGTGTACAATTGTGAATCTAAACCATTCCCAGATCCCCTTGAACACACACAAAAAATTTCATCAAAATCAGTCCAGTCGTTTGAGAGAAGTTCAGTGACATACACACTCACAGAAGAATTATATATATAATTCTTCTGTGAGTGTGTATGTCACTGAACTTCTCTCAAACGACTGGACCGATTTTGATGAAATTTTTTGTGTGTGTTCAAGGGGATCTGGGAATGGTTTAGATTCACAATTTGAATAATAATTTTCATCAAAAAAATTATTAAAAAAAGTTTGAAATTTTCAAATTAAAGACGTGTGGACAGGACAACGTCTGTCGGGTCCGCTAGTTATATATATAAAGATGTTATTATTATTTGTTAAATTTATATTATTAAATGTTAATTTTAACAAGAAAATTGAATTGAATTGGTTCTATTAAAAACATTTATGTAAATGATTTTATATACAAAATCGAAACATTATTATTAGTTATTGCACGTTATTTCGTTGCTGAAGTCTATAAAGAAAAAATTGTTTCAATACATCTACCATCCCACCTAGAAGCAAGTTTCAAACAAATGTAAGACTTTTTTTCTACATCTACACTGATATCATAAAGAGGATTGTATTTTTGTAACGAATAAACTCAAAAAATACTGGACCGATTTAGATAAAATTTTGTAAAAAGATAGATTGAGACCCTGGGAAGGACAAAATATTTTTATCATCCCTTAAGGAGGTCAAAATAGGGATGACAGTTTGTATGTGGAATTACCAGTGGTGAGTTGTTAGTATATTATAAAAAAAATGTATTCATTATTAAAAACAATGGTAAGAAAATAGGTAATAAAAACGTTTGCAAAGATAAAAACGGATGACACCCTGTCTCTCTAACTACCGAAAGTATGCTTATGAAAATAGCATAAGCTTCAATAAAATATATGTACCTATATAATTCTTAGGAGTGGACAAAAAGCTCCAAAAGTTTAAAAAATCTCATAACATTATATTAAAACTATTACAAAATTTTATGTTAAACTATTAAAAACTATTACAAAATTTTATGTTATTTTTCGCTTAAATAGTCATCTTTTCGTGGGTCAAAAATACCGCTACAACGCTAGTACTCATAAAACTCAGTATTCAGCGAGTAACATTGTAAAGATTCATTTAGATTCAGGGAAAATTAAATTAAAGAAAAATATGTTACTTGAATATATTCCGTTTGCTTGCTTGGGAAAATAAGTAAAGCAGGTTCAAATCCCGGGTCTCGTATTGTCTTACGTTGAAGGAAAATCTAATGAGGATATAGTCATAATATTTTATTTATATATAAGTAAAAATTTTGTATGTCTGTCTGGGAAAGCATCACGAAAAAATCACTGGATAGATTTTGATGGAATTTGGTTTGATGATAACTAATTATCCATTTTAACATATAAGATATATTTTGGTGCGGAGAAATATCATCTCTGACAAATCTATGCTAACCGTCAAAACCGTACCTAGGAACGAACCCGAGCGGAGCGAGACTGAGTCACTAGTATCTACATAAATTTGAACTCTATTTACAATCTACCCTATCCTTTAACGGTTTGTAGAAAAAAAAATTAAAACAGAAATATTCTTTTTTCAGAACTTATACAGAAATATTCTATTATTATAATATTATATATTAAAACAGAAATATAATTTTATTTCAAACGAATTGCAATTCTTGATTGTCCGAAACTAATTCGTGTGAGCAATTAACCCAACTTCTATTACTCTACAGTGCGTATTAAGGGCAAGAAATATCAAAGGTGTCATTAGGTTCGCCATAAAACGAAGTCCTTAAACTAAAGTCATTGTGAAAATTCCGAGTGTTAAATTAGAGACAGTCATGATTTTAAACATGGCTTGTAATATATAATCAAAAATAATAAAATATTTATTTACTAGATATATGTTATAGTCTCTGATTTTAATTTACGAAAATAACAACAATCCATACTAATATTATAAATGTGAAAATGTGTTTGTTTGTTTGTTTATCTGTCACGTCGAAACGGAGTGACGGATTGGCGTTATTTTTTGTGTGGAGATAGTTGGAGGGCTGGAGAGTGCATAGGCTACTTTTTACGGCGGTAAATAATCTAATTTCTACGGAAAAACACGTTATAATACAATCCAAAAAAATATTTATGATCAGAATTACTTGCAACTCGGTATTAATGCTCAGGCTCTTCAATAAAATTAAATAAACACGTGTTTCACCATTTTTCGAAATTCATCCTATAAGGGGGTAAAATAGGGGATGAAAGTTCGTATGAAACTACCATTTTAGAGATTTTTTGTAGTTTTAGCGCGAGCAAAGCCGCGGGTTCTGTTAGTTGATGTTCTCCTAGCCGATTCCGGCTACGGCGGCCAATCTCATTGAGATTAGCTAACTGTGCAGGAGATATTATAGTGCACAAGTGTACGCGCAGACACAAGTGCACTCTCTATTCCTGTCACTCTCATACTCCGGTGGGACGACCACTCGACACGACCAGTGAGAGTTAAGGCGCAGGACCGACGGCTTTACGTGCTCTCCGAGGCACGGGGGTGAAACACCGCCGACTTCCCAACCCCGGGGTGTTACTGAGACTTACTATACAGACAGACTCAATATAAAATTATTATATATAGTAGTTATATATAAAAGAAGATTAAATAAGCCCAATCTAAAAGTTTATACATAAATTATTATTATTGTTTAAATACTCTAATATTTCGAATATCTTCTAGTCGCTTAAATTCGCTTAATTTTTTTCGAAATTTTGCTTAAAGTACTACAATCAAAACTATGTATCATCGATTTTTCTACGTCTTATGAAAATTTTTATCTCAAGCATATAACGTAAGAACAAAATCTCCATATTTCTGGGTAATTTATAATAATTTCAATAATGTTTTAAAATATTTTTATTCATAAGTACAATATATATAATTTACATGCTGTGAGTTTTATTCTACAATTTGTGAAGATTAGTGTGTGTATTGCTTAAACAAAAATACAGTGCTCAAAGAATGTAGTACTTTGAAGAAATTAATATATGGTAAATCATTCGTGCATTACATTTGGCACTTGTTAATATCTTCTTTTACTTTCTTACATTCGTCGCTTTCATCCCAATTCTTGCAAGTCTGAAACAAAAATATGATATAAAATTGTGTAAGTTATTATTAATACATAAACAAAAATACCTATATATATATATATATATATATAATTTCAATTATTGTCAATTCTCTCTATCTGTGATTTTTAAATAGAATTCGTATTTGATAATCTGCATGACACTTATGTCCAAACAACCATTAAAAAAGTTTTCGTCCTATATACATTTGAGAACGGTGTTTTCTGTATTCATGGACTTTCTGTGGGCGAGAGATTTCCGGCGAGCATGACATAAGCTACTTACTTTATTTCCTCGGGGAAAAAGGGTTGTCTAAATATAAATACGATTGTAATAGTTCGTTTGTGCATAATCGCAAACCTCCCTTTAACCCTTTTCATCGATAGCTTTGAAATTTTGACACAATGAGTGGTTTTCATATGGAAGGACTTTGGGTATAAGTGTTTTACATACAGAAATTTGTATATTACATATACTATGAAACTTTAAACTGCCTCGGTGGTGTAGTGACTAGCATGTAAGGCCGCATATCCGGAGGTCCTGGGTTCGAGTCCCGAGTTGGGTCAAGTTTAGTTATTGAGTTTTTCTGTTCAGTTAGCCGAAGCTTACGGTGCTTCACCCCAGTGCTTCGGAGAGCACGTGTCGCGTCAGTCCTGCGCCTTATATTAACTCTCACTGGTCGTGTCGAGTAGTCGTCCGACCGGAGTATGAGAGTGACAGGAATAGAGAGTGACAGGAATATGAGTGTGAATATACTATAGTTGTATGGGCACTATTTTGTCTTTGATCGCTAATGAGATTTTGTTCATCGGCCAGAAGAACATCATAGTATCAAATACTAGTATGGAGAATCATTTCGCCCCAACTAAAGTTCGAATGGGAATATGATAAGACTTTTTGATCGCAAGAGAGCCGAGTGGTGTGTTTCATGTGCTATTAAAAATAATTAGACTAAATTTAATTTTACTTAAAACAATTAGTATTATTTTGATTTGGAAGTATTAAGTTTTAAATGTGAACAAATACCCTTTGAATTTTTAGAAATTACAAAAACCCACTTCTTAGCATTTCTTTAACAGCTATAATTTAATAATCGAGAACATGCTATCAATATGGCATACTGTTTTATATATAGAGATAATAATTTTTCATTACGTTCGACTGTTATTTATGTATGTAATGGGTAGATTTACCTCGTTATTATATTTTGTACAAGAATCTTAATATAAGTATATATATATATATATAAATGGAGAAAATTCCTTACTTTTTATACAATAAAGTGTAGCATATTTGCTTTAATACGCACCGACATGATGTAAAAGCGTAAACAATTTCCGAGTTCTTTTAGATTGCAAGGATCCTCTTGTACGTAAGCGTCTAAGTCCTTGTTCAGGCACTTTTCTTTGAGAACATCCGAGACACCAGTGTAGTTCTCGAAGTCCTTCTCAAGTAGCTCCTCTAGTGCAATTTTGTCGAATGTACCGTTCGACATAAAAAGTCCACCTTTTTTCGCCAAGCATACATCAAAGTCGCACTAGAAAGTTGAATGTATATATTAGTATAAAATATTTTTAACAAAAACCTACATAGATTTCTAAATTAATTTAATTGTTATTATGCCACTGTTATTTATAGTTTTTTTTGTATGTGGTACATTTAAGGTTTACACCTTAATTTAACCTGTTCACTAAAAAATTCTCATAAAAATCTTTCATAATTGGTCGAGCGCGTGAAAAACACTTTTTTTTAAGTCGGTCAAATAAATTATTAGCGATTTAACGACGGCTTTTATACGTGTATTTCTGATTAAATATGTAATAAGATTGACATATTTTAATTATGAGACTACGTTATTTTGAAGCATACCTATTTAGTTTGTACAGAGAATTTTGTTCTTCGAATCGTTATTAACAATTTTCTCGCAAATCGTAAAGTAGGCTCTAAATTTCCAGTTGTGTAATTATTCTGAGGAGTGTTTAATCTCATCTTCAATCAAGATACAAAATTTCACTAACAGAATTTTCATTACACCAACATTTCCTATGTATTTATGAACTTCCTACGAGAATGTTGGTAATATTTTTGTTGATAGGACTTATAATTTAAATTTACGTTAATTGTAATTAAATATGTGTGTTTACATTTGCTACTTAAAATAAAAATACTTATCTTTACATACGAATATATCTTACAAACATAAACCAGAAATAGTGATGGCCCAATTTTTTACCTAAGATAAGTGTAGTTATAAAAGCGGCATTCCAGCTCTATTTTTTAAAACTTTCTCGACGGACAGCGGTATGGTAACTTAAATAAATGTTTCTCTCGTTATTTTTATCAATAATAAAAAAATAAAATCAAAGTGTCTGTTTGTAATGTCAAAATAATATAAATGGTATTTATAAGAAAAAAACAGTTTTAAAATTTTTGTCTGTCTGTTTGTTCCGGCTAATATCCGGAACGGCTGGACTGATTTTAATGAGACTTTTACTGGCACATATCTGATATTATAAGAAATGACTTAGGATATTTTTATTGTGGAAAAGAATTAGGGTATCGTGCAGAAATTAAAAACTCTTGAAATAGTGAACAAAATCCGCATGCCTAGTGGCGCACTCGAGCGAAGCGTGGCTAAGTCGATAGACTATACATATTATAATAAAATTGTAAGTAAGCCAAATCTGTAAATTAGATATTTTTTGGAAAACCTTGTTAAAATAAACATTTATATCGATACCGAGGCCGAATCTATAGTTTTTAGAATTTTTGTCTGTCTGTCTGTTACCACATAACGGAAAAACTACTGAAGGGATTTTGATGAAATTTAGTATGGTGATAGCTGGTTATTCGGGTCAACATACGATACTTTTTAATGCGCGAAAATATCTCAATTTTTGAGAAAAAATACAAAAACGGCAATGTAAAAGTATACTAATATGTAAAACCTAAGAATTTGATTTTTGGTTATCAGACCACGGGCGGAGCAGCGGGCAATGCTAGTCTATTGACTGTGATAAAGCTGTGAATATTATTTAAATCGTGATAAGTATTAGTTTTTATATACAAAGGACAAATAATGGTTTTAATATCATCAAAGTACTCGTAATATTGAAGATAGCTGGAATAAAATGAAGTGAAATTCCAACAATAATTTCTCATAAAGATAGTTTAATGATATTTTGCAAGAAATATTTTCTAGTATAATAAAAATAATTACCCAACTTATTAAAAGTTCTCAAATTCTACCGGTGTCTAATAAAGCATACATTGGCCAAGTTTTGATTCTATAATGAGTGACTTACATACATGTAATTCCCTTTTTTATCAATATAACTAGCGAGTTATCCATACTTCGCCCGCGTCCAGCCCTAGGTGCTAAAAAGTAGCTTATTAAGCGTATTTAAGTTACTTCAAGTCTTTTTAATCATTTCAGCGTGAAAGAGTAACAAACGTACACACACGTAAAAATTTTGCAATCTATACATATAATAAAATTATAACTAAGATGAATCTGTACATTAAATATTTTTTGGAAAAATCTTATTAAAATAAACATTATTATAGATACAGAGGCCGAACCTATAGTTTTTAGAATTTTTGTCTGTCTGTCTGTTACCGCATAACGGAAAAACTACTGAAGGGGTTTTGATGAAATTTAGTATGGTGATAGCTGGTTATCCGGGTCAACATATAGAATACTTTTTACCGCAGGAAAATATCTTATTTAAGAAAAAAAATACAAAAACTGCAATGTAGGAGTATACTAATATGTAAAACGTAAGAATTTGGTTTTAGGTCATCTGAATGCGGGCGGAGCCGCGGGCAATGCTAGTTATAATAATACTATAATCAATTAGAGCTTGCATTATAATCACACGTAATACCAAAATATAGATAATCTTAAAAAAGTATTTTATCATCCCGACCGTACACTAAGCACCTTCCAACCGACGGCTTACATAATGTTATTATGAGCATTACGAGCTCAGTGACCAATACGAGACCGCAAATATAGGAATATTCTTGTAACGGAAACGTTTATTTTAGGATTCTTGTGTCTTCATCAAGATTGGAGAAGATCGTGACCTTCATGTCTGGGAGAACCTAACAAGTTTTCGAAAGACTGACGGTCTGATCGTCCTCATCCTGATCCTGATCCCTTAAAGCCTCCGTGGTTAGTTTCCGGGAAACCAATTGTTAACTGCCATGCCGGATTGTACGCGACCGTTGAAGCGTTAAAGGGAGGTATGTGCTCTCCAGAAGAAAGATTAAAAGGGCTGAATACATACAATTATTTATATATATATATATATATATATATATATGTATATATGTATATATATATATATATATATGTGTACATATAACAATTCAACAATATATTTAAAAAATATGACAATGTGATGTCCAACCCTTTACGAGTAAATACTAAAGATACGAAAATATATTAATGCTACTTACAGAGTTTGGATTTTGTGTTTCCTTGTAGCATTCTTTCGAGTTTGTTTCATAAAGTTCGCTTTTAGCGTATGCACAACAATGCTGATGTAACTACAACCAAAATGAGTCAAATAACCATTTAAACAAATATCAAGAATAATTTTATGGGATCTAATTCTATATAATATATTTTTTAATAATTAAGACAGATTATATATCTATACATATAATAAAATTCTAACTGAGCCGAATTTGTACATAAAATATTTTTCGGAAAATCTTATTGAAATAGACATTATTATCGAAACAAAAGTCGAATCTATAGTTTTTAGAATTTTTGTCTGTCTGTTACCGCATCACGAAAAACCCACTGAAGGGATTTTGATGAAATTTGGTATGATGAGATATATGATGAGAGGATACTTTTTATTCCGGAAAAATATCTCTTTTCTGAGAAATCTATACTAAATGTTAAAACGTATTATAATAATAGAGCACTATAAACTTATGTGAACTTACCATAACAATATTCAAACACCGTTCTATACCTTGGCTTTGCACCTGTAATAAATAGTTATGATTAGAAGGTAGAAGGTTATAAAGAAGCAGAATTTGTTTGTTTGTTTGAACGCGCTAATCTCAGAAACTACTACACCGATTTAAAAACATCTTTTTTGTATTAGATAGCCCGTTATCTACATCGTTATTTATATAGTTATCGGCTATATATCATAGAATATATAGTCTATTCCATAATAACCGTTAAAATGTACCTAGGGATGAACCCGAACGAAACTAGGGTGAGTCGCTAGTATTTTATAAAGGGCAAATATTTATTTTTATTTGATTAACATAATATTGGCCTGATCCTCCTAAAAATAAAATTAGGCACGTAGACGAATGAGTGGAAATGGGTTATCATCTATGACAAAGACCACAGCTTCTAACTTCTGTATCAACTACTTAGATTTTAAATCCGATCTGTTTAAGACTACATGCGATGTTCATTACCCACTTATAGAAATAAGTAATAAAATATCAATTTCTACGTATATAAAATCAACATCTAAGTATCCTTTCAACAACGGAGAGGATACAGAGAGGGCCGTAAAAACAAAAATTAAAATTGTCACCATTGAAACTATCCCAACAAGAATTACGACAGAGCAATGCATGGTCTAGTCGTGATTTATTGTATTGCAATTTACAGAAGACTCTTTTTATACCCTGTTATATCAAAAACATATTAAAAGTTACCGCGAAGCATGAAATTGTAGCGTTTATATAAAAAATGATGAATATCATTAAGAATTATATGTGATTTCTCATTTTAAACACCGAAGCATGTTTTTATTGTTGTTGGCAAATTAGCTGTATTAGTACTCACCATAGGATACAATGTTTATTATAAATATTATAAAATGAAATTTTACTGTGTTTTAATAAAAATAAAATCGATTTCCTAACGCTCTTTAAAATTGCTTAAGTTAGCGAAATATTTAAATGAACACCTTCAACATATATTCTTGAAAAAAAATATTTCATTTCGTTATTACGATTATATATTGATGTAAAAATGATCACAGTATTAACAATGAAAATGTTAGTACTATGAGTATGTAGTGTCTGAATATGTTTTACTATAACCTGGCATAACAACCTGTGTTAGTTAGTATTTGATAAAAGTAGGCGCTGGACGTTTCTCAAAAGATACATACATCCATATCCATACTAATATTATAATTGTGAAAGTGTGTTTGTTTGTTTGTCCTTCTTTTACGTTGAATCGGAGTGTCGGATTGGCGTGATTTTTTGTTTGGAGATAGTTAGAGGGCTGGAGAGTGACATAGGCTACTTTTTACTGCAGGAGATTATCTAATTCCCACGGGAAAACACGTTATAATACAATCCAAAAAAATATTTATGATCAGAATTTTTTGAAACTTGGTATTATTGCTGTTCAATAAAATTAAATAAATACGTGTTTAAGCATTTTTCGAAATTCATCCTATAAGGGGTAAAATAGGGTATGAAAATTTCCCCCCCAACGTGGTATGAAAATTTGTATGAAACTACCTTTTTAAAATTTTGTATAGTTTTAGCGCGAGCGAAGCCGCGGGTTCTGCTAGTATTAAATAAATAAATAAAATATGTTGGGACATTAATACACAGCAACATCTACTTCCATGGTAAGCTACGAGGCTTGTGTTATGGATACCAGATTGTTGATGCACTACACATATATTACTTTAAATACATTTTTACATGTTATATAAATATAAACACCCATGACTAGAGTACAATCATTCGTGCTCATCACACAAATAAATGCCTTCAGCGGGACTCGAACCCGCGACCCCTGGCCTGGCAAGTAACATCACTACAAACTGAGCCAAACGTCTCGTCAAAAATATAGTAATAATATTATAATATTGTATACGTAAATAAAAGTCGATGTTTTTGTATAAAGTCATAAAAGGCATCTAGGGAGCACTCGAGTGAAGCGAGAGCAAGTTACGGAATCGACACAGAATATATCTTTAGAAACAACTAAAAAGTAAAACAGTCTGAGGCACGCATAAAACAAACATCTCTCTTATTATTTTACTTTATTCTTATTCACATGGGAATTTCAATAAAAATGTCTAGGTGTTAAGACGTTAACTTGGCTCTTGATGGAGGCCATTCAAGCATTGGTATAGAATTTATCAACACAGTAACGTTAATAAATACATATATTTCAGAACTAGCGAGTTGCCCTTGTTCGTTCGGTTGCGTCCCTAGGTACGTTTTTATTTTTTTAAGCAGAACCCTAATTCTTTTTCTAAAATAAAAGAAGCCTAAGCTACTCCTTATAACATCAGCTATCTGCCAGTGAAAGTCCTATGAAAATTAGACAAGCCGTTTTGGAGATTAGAAACACGAACACGAAGAACGCTTCACGAGAAAACTACTTGACAGATTTTAATAAAATTTGATATGATGATAGCTGGTTATCCGGATCAACACAGGATACTTTTTATTGCGGGAAAATTCTCATCTCTGAGAAATCTATACTAACCGTTAAAACGTATCTAGGGACGAATGAACTCGAGCGGAGCGAGAGTGAGTCACTAGTTTAAAATAAAATTTATATTTCCAATAGGATTATTTTTGGATATATTCAAATTATCTTTGGATATATTCTACTATGTATCAAGCATACGATCTTTTCTTAGCTGAATTTATAATACTGTTACTAGAATCAATGAATCGTGTAGAAGCAGCTTGCATAAGACACATGGTTACTGCGAACAAAATTACGCTATCCGCTCTGGTCTCATGTCCTATAAAACAACTTAAAGTACTACGAGAAAATAAAAGAATTGGCACAAAATCATTGAAAATATTTTTTGAATGCCCAACATTTGACGTTTTATCAATTTTCGTAGGACATTATGTTTGACATTTATTTTACGTAATAGCGTTTTCCATATATTTTTAGAGTAAATTTAATTTTTAATACAATATTTTTTTCATAAACCTTTTTCTTTTTGCTATAAATAGATATAACTTAAATTAAAAACATAGCTAAGCGAGTTTTCTCAATATTACGTTTTGTTTAATCATATTCAAATCAAATTTTATATAATACAGATGACAGGTCAAAACACGAATGCCTCGTGGCCTACGGCGAGATAGCAATTCAGAGTCTGCGAACCTACCGTGTTTGCGAGATTATAAACAAATCGCAAAAAAAATGTAGTGGGTATTTCGAATTCGTTCAGTCCCTCATAGTTATTTGCATTACCAGAAGAAGCGCAGATGCTACACGTAAAAGCTTTCCCAACGGTAAAAATATTGCCAAAACACAAAATTCGCCCAGAACGGATACCGAATATATGTAAAATGTATGATATACTATATTTTTATACTCAAACTGATAAAAACAAATTGAATAACAAAATCAATTATAAAGCAATAGGTAATTCTTGAAATAATGTTGGATATTTCCAAAACGGCTAACATCTTTATATATATAATTCTTCTGTGAGTGTGTATGTCACTGAACTTCTCTCAAACGACTGGACCGATTTTGATGAAATTTTTTGTGTATGTTCAAGGGGATCTGGGAATGGTTTAGATTCACAATTTGAATAATAATTTTCATCAAAAAAAATATTAAAAAAAGTTTGAAATTTTCAAATTAAAGACGTGTAGACAGGACAACGTCTGTCGGGTCCGCTAGAACATATATAATTTTAGGTAAAAAAAAAACAATCAAATTAGATAGCGTCCAATCATCCAATTAGCGTAGAAACAAAAAGATGTTAAGTTTAAGCACCTGTGAAGATTTCATTATAATCCAATTTATCGCATCCTGTTCGCATGTTTTACACACCCTCTTTAATAGATGCCGGTACGGGTCGAGCTAATCTTGCTCATTACGCCCCTGTGTCCATTTACTTGGCTTACAATTCAGTACATTCTTTCTCTAAGAGACAAGCTAAAAATTATTATGCTTTTTATTAAGGCAAAAATATGTGGAATTCTGTAGAATTCAACATTTTTTCCTTCTCACTATTCTCAACTAGCGCAGCTCCATCTTATAAATTTAATTCATTTGACTATCATGAAGTGTATATTTCATTCGCTACTTAAGTTTAGCTATGTCCTTAATAAGGTGGTGTAGAAGGCTACGGTTCAAATATATTCAATTACGTTCTTTCTATACGAACATATATGTGTACTTGTCAGAGTATAAAATTATAAATTGGCTTAATTTAAGCATTTTAAACACAGTTCGTCAATATAAACTAATTTTGTTTTAAATATTTGTTATTAATAACTAGTGCGATAAATGGTTTAAACAATCCTATGTTAGATCTTATAGGGATTTTGAGCCAAAAACCTTTGTGGCTTAAGGCAGAATAACTCACTAAGGTTTCATCACAATCGAATGAATTGCATAGACGACAAACGCAGAAACATTAATTTTTAATTTTATAACTTTTATAGATTTAAATAAAGTTGATTATTTTTATTATTATTATATAAAAAAATATTTTTTTGTTTCTTTATCATAATACTTAAAAAATATAAAAAAAAACATAATATTAATCTCTTACTTAGTATTATACTCGTAAATTGACTCGACATGTAACCTTCTTTAACTCACCATTAAATAATCTATACATATAATAAAATTGTAACTAAGCCGAATCTGTACATTAAACATTTTTTGGAAAATCCTATTAAAATAAACATTATTATCGATACAGAAGCCGAATCTATAGTTTTTAGAATTTTTGTCTGTTTGTCTGTCTGTCCGTTACCGCATCACAGAAAAACTACCGGCGGGATTTTGATGAAATTGAGTATGATGATAGCTGGTTATTCGGGTCAACATATAGGATACTTTTTACCACGGGAAAATATCTCATTTTTGAGAAAAAATACAAAAACTGCAATGTAAAAGTATACTAATATGTAAAACCTAAGAATTTGGTTTTTGGTCATCTGAACGCGGGCGGAGCCGCGGGCAATGCTAGTAACTTATATAAACAACATGTGACTTTATACTTTTTCAACTAATCTTGACATCTAAGGGCCCCTGTGAATAAGACTTTATAGTCCAATTTATCGCACTCGCTGTTTAACGCTCCTTCTTTATTACACGCCCCGCGTGGCTCGAGTTAATCTCACTCATTATTTCCTTGTGTCCGCTTATTTCGTTAGTAAGTTTCAAGGCATCTCAACACTCTCTTGACTTTCTGTTATATTAAAATTTTGTATTATAAAATATTACATTTATTTTTCAAAGCTTAAACTTTTTAAAATATCAAATCTTAAACAAAATTTACTTGATTATAGGGACGCTAGTGCGTCTATAAATATAAAACAAAGTCGGGTTTGTTACAACACTTATAAGTCGAGAACGGCTAGACCGATTTTTTTGATTTTTATTTTGTTCTTTTTGTCTTTACATCGAATAGCAGAATAACTATTAAAACATCGGAAAAATCACGAAAAAATCGATTGACGACACGTTTAGCTCAGTTTGTAGTGACCCTACTTGCTGCGCCAGCGGTCGCGAGTTCGAGTCCCGCTGGGGGCATTCGTTTGTGTGATGAGCACGAATGTTTGTACTCCAGTCATGGGTGTTTATACTTATAGTATGTATGTATTTAAAGTT